CTGGGGTGCCAGCCACAGCGGACGCCTCCCTCCTCACTACCCCCGCACCCCGTTCCCCTTTCTGCAGTCTTCCCCAGGCTCCTGCCATTCAGCGGGGCTCCTAAGTGGCCCTGGGCTAGACCCGGCCCCCAGGAGGCCATCATTGCTCGCGTCCATTATCTTTCCTAACTGTCTGACTAGCGTTTATAAAAATGAGCCGTGCTTTGTGTTTTCTGATCTTAACATCTGTGGTAGTTTCTCCATTGATTTTTGGGGGGGTTTTCAAGTATATAGTTGTCTTATCTTTAAGCAAAGGTGTTTTTATTCATCTTTTCCAGCTTCTCAGTTCTTTTGAGATCCTATTCCAATCTCTTTATCTTACAGTTGGGGAGGTTGAGATCCAGGGAGAAGCCCCCCATCCGCCAGTAGCTAGGCTGAGGCTCTGGGCTCCTGACTAGAGCTCTCTCGTCCACCTCCTGCCCTGTCTCCGCTCTCCCTGATGGCCCCTTCTCACTCTGTCCTCTGCCTGCCATTTTCAGAGCTTTGGGGAGGTGCTCAGTAACCCTTTCGCAGGCTCTCCCTGCTGGCACCGCAGGGCCCCGAGAGCTGTCTCCTTCTGTCGCCTCCCACCCCGCAGACAGGTTCAGGTTCTGGGCCGAGGCTGTTGGGAGGCCCAGTGGGAAGGAGAGGGGGCCAGGGAGGGGGAAGTTGACAGAAGTTCCAGAGCAGAATAATAACAATGTGTCACATTCCAGCCACTACCCCTGCTGTGCCTCCCCATCACTTTGCACGTGCAATGCAGGCCAGCTGCCTAAGGGGCCTCTAGGGTCTGAGCCCCGCTCACGGGGACTGCTGTGTGCAGGCGGGTGTGCGTCCATGTCTGTGTAATTAAAAATCAGCATGCCTCGCTTCACCCAGCGAAGAGATGCCACCACCTCGGGTGGGATGCAACAGCTGTTTGCTGGCTGCGCGGCTGCCCAGCTGTCCAGCCTGCCACAGACGGATGGGCCGGGCTGGGCAGCTCGGGGTGAACAGAGAGGGCCAGGGCCCCCCACCCCAGTGGGCCGGAGGTGGCAGTGGAGATTGGGTGGAGATGGACACAGCAGACCTCATTCCTTTCTGGGCCTAGAGCACATGGAGGAGATGCGTGACCCAGTCCTGGGCCTGCACTCGTTACCGCGTCCTTTTGGGGGTTTGAGGTCACGGAGCTCTGAGTAGCCCAGGAGTGAGACCCACTCTCCATCTCTACCCGGGCCTGACTCTTTGCCCCCCACACCTGCCCGAAGCAGAACGCCAGGCGAAGGTAGTTCAGGCCCTGTCTCCCCGCCCCCCACTCACTAAGCCCTCCCGGCGGGGCGGAGGGGCGCTGTGGGCCTGTGGGCAGCCTTGGCCCAGCTGCTTGGCCCAGCTCGTCCCCCACTCGGGAGGTGAGCACCACCTGAGGCGAGGAGGGGGTGTCGTGGTGTGTCCCCGTGGTGGCCGAGGCAGTGGCCCTGTGGCACTGCTTCTTCCTTTGCCCGCCAGCACCACGGGCGGTGGGGTGAGCCAGTGTGGGTGCAGGGGTGGGGGGAGTGCTGGTGACTGAGATCTCCTGGAAATCCCTGCATTGTGGGCGGTGTCCCACGTCTCCCCTTTGTTTCTGCTTGTGGGAGGTCCAGGTGGGTGGGGAGTTTTGGAGCTTTGGGGACTAGAATGCCTCTATCCTGTTTGTAGCAGCTCCAGGTGGCACCTTGGCCTGATGAGCTGGCTTCTTCCTGTTAGATGGGGAGGATTGTGGACATCCGCATCTCTTCCACCGTGGAGAGGGGCCCAGTGGTCCCTCTGAGTCTGCGTGTGGGAGGGAGTTGCCCTGGGCTGTGGCATCATCCGATGGCCAGTGGCTTCAGTGGCCAGAGTAGGTTCCCCTGTCCTGGTGATGCTTCCTCGGGCCTCACCTGGCCATGGGAAAGGGTGTGCCCAGGGCTGAGAGGACTCCGGGTCCCGTTCACCAGCAGTACCAGCCCAGTGTGGCGTTGACCTGGCGTCCTTGGCTCTTGGCAGTCTGCTCTCTGAGGGCTCCCTGGGGCTAGCCGAGGGAGAGGCAGCTGGCCTCGCCTTCCTTCAACAATTTTCCAATACTTACCGGCTCATCAACGTGCAGCGGGGCCCCGAGAGCTGGCCCGAGGCTGCCCTCGCTTCCCGAGAGGGGAAGGTCTCGTCCTCTCCCCCAGTCACTTAGGGACAGGGGGTATGGCCAGTCCTGCCTCTCACCCTCCATCCCCAGCTACCACTGGATTCACTATTGCTGAGTGAGCAGAGCACAGAGACAGGTCTCCCAGGGGAGGCTGCAAGGACATCCGTGAGCCCGTCCCATGCCCGTGGGCCTGGGTTGGAGGTTTGTACCTTTGCCTTCTTCCTGCCCCTTCTCTTCTGCCCCCAAGTCTGAGTTTTGACAGGACCTAGCGTGTGTTAAAATGATTTGGGGCTGAGCTGTCAATGAGATTTTAATTAGCTTCGTGCCTCCCTCCACAGAGAGTGCCAGGGGCCTCCAGGTGGTGAGGGTAGGGCCGGGCTGGCCTTTGGCATGAGGCTGTCCCTCCAGGGGCCTGGGAGCAGGCTTGGGCAGCGGTGTTCCCTGTGTGGGGTGCTGCGAGGAGCGGGGACTGGGCAGGGAAGGAGGGGTGCGTAGCCAGGCCACCGTTTTCTCTCCCTCCTCTGTTTTCCCTGTTCCTCCGTTCTCCCGATGGCTTTGAGATGAAGGCTACAGCAAGGATGGAGGATACAGTTTCCATGGCAACGGGGCTGTCCACAGCCAGGCAACTTCAGAGCTGGGCTCTCCGGAGGAGGCAGATGCGCAGAGCAGCCGCAGAGCTGCCTCCCGCCTGCCAATGAGGGGGCTGACAGAGCAGGTGGCAAGGGTGGCTGCCTGGTGCGGCCCACCGTGATGCCCAGCTCGGAGGGGAGGTGGAGAGAGCACCGTTCCCTCTTATTATCCCTGTGACTTCCAAAAGGGGAACCAGGCAGGCGGCCTGAGTGTTGGCAGAGGTTGGGGTAGGGCTCCACTGTCCCCGGAATTTCTGGGTGAGCACAGGCTCTGGTTCCTGGGAGCACCCCCAAAAGCCACCTGTCTACAGCCCTCGAGAGATGGGCCACCAGGTAACTGATGGTCATGAAGGGGCCTTCCCTTTGGATGCTTGGAATGCCCAGGGCATGGAGATGCTGGCGAAGGTCCCGTCCTGATGGGCTTTGGGAGCCCTCTTCCTTTTTCTTCCCTCTGGCCAACAGGGAAGACCTGACCCTTCGGAGGGCCACCCTGGCCCTGGTGACATGACCCATTTTATTGAGTGGGGCTTGGCTTCGGCAGATGCCCACCCCCAAGTGCTGGCATTAGAACGGCCCCAAAGCCGGGTAGCTCCTGCCTCCCGACGTGTTCTCGGCCCACGTCCTCCTCAGGACCAGGGCTGGTGTGAGTGTGTGGGCAGGTGGGGAAGCGGAGGCAGCCATCGGTGTACCCAAAGACGGGAGGGGCCAGGGGTGGGCTCCGGAGATGGCCCAAGGAGCACCCCAGGCTGGCAAAGAAAGATCAGACTCAAACTGTTAAAAATGATTTTCCTTCACTGGCCCCACAAGTGTCTGGGCTAGAGGGTCCCACTCTGCGTTTGAGCACAGGGAGACTTAGGATAAAAGTCTTCGCCTGGGTCATCCGTGGAATCAGGCCGAGCTGGCCTGGCCATCCACCCCCACGTGGCCTAGATGCATCCTGCCTCCAGCCGGCTGCTGAGAGCCCCGGCCGGAGAAATCTTTTAGGCTTATTCTTTCCTCTCTCCTCCCAGGGGCTCTTTTTCACCCCTCTTCACTTGCTTTGATTAGAGGGGAACCCTCAGCCTAGGCTCGGCCAGGCAGGCGGACGAGCGGAGTCCTGGAGTGGCCTCTCCCCACCGGCTGCTCAGTGTCTCATTACCGCTAAGTGGAAAGCTCACTTCAGAGCTCGTGGTGGGAGCCAGGCGGGCGCTATAAATAGCCATCTTGTGAAGGTTGGCGGGTGAGCGGTGACAGGCCAGGGGCCTTGCGGTCATCTTAGTGGGTAATTGCGCTCTGCTGTAGGAAGGGGCGGGGCTCAGGAGCAAGCTGCAGCTGACCCTGTTCTGACTGTCTCTGCCTCGGCCAGCTCTGGCGCCTCCCCACCCACACGCGCTGCGGGTTGGGGAGCTTCGGGCTCTGCGTTCAGAGTCGTGGAGTGCCTGTCTCAGAACTTGGGACCCTATCAGCTGGTACTTCAACCCGCTGCGGAGTCGAGGATGACGACCTGTTAGACATACCCGTTCCGCTTGCCTGTCCAGCCTCGGGGCTGCCCCTCAGCCGAAATTATGGCCCTGTTGTAAGAAGGGCAGCGACCCAACCACATCCGATAGTCTCGGAGGCTGGCATAGCCCTGAACTTGCAGTGGGGTGGGAGGAGAAGAGGGATTTAGCTGGCCTGGAATCCCTGTCCAGGACTTGTCAGGAACGTGTCTGCAAGGGCAGGGCCTGGAGGCCTGAGGGTCAGCGCGCTGGCCTCTCCTGGTGTCTGTTGGTCAGTTGGTCAGTCAGTGTTGTCTAGGCTGGAGAGGAGGTCAGGGGTCCTGGGATGGAAGTTGTGGCAGGTCACATCTTGGCTTGGCTTGGGCTCTTGGGGCTGTAGTTTGTGGGGTCCCTGTCCTGGAGTGACCCGGTATGCTAAGCTCCATGGCTCTGCAAGACCAGTGCTTTCTGAAACAGACACACACGTAGGATTGGCAGTGCCAGGCTCTGGGGTTCTTTTAGCTCCTGTCCTAGGACATTGTCCCCAGGACCCCTAGATCCTCAGACCCCTGCCCCCCTGGAGTTTGGGGTCTGCCCTTAGGGGCTCCGTGTGCCCCCTCAGCAGGGCTTTGCAACTGGAGGGGGATTGGGGCAGCAGGCAGAGTCCCCTGGGACCCGGCCATGGTCAGTTGCTGGGGCCACTCGGGGACCAGCAGGTCAGGGGCCCTGTGGGGCTCATCCTTCCCCTTCCTCCCTGACAAGGAGCGGAAGCTGTGTGCCCACCCTCGGCTGGAGATCTACCAACAAGACCAGATCTACTTCATGTGCCCACTGGCACGACAGGGAGACTTCTATGTGCCTGAGGTGAAGGAGACAGAGCGGAAAAGTCGGGGGCCTGCCGAGGCCAGTGACACGCAGGTGGACGACACAGGTACGGAGGGTGGGGAGCGAGGCCGGCCTGCCTGGAGCCCTCTCTCCGGGTGTGCGGGACGTGGTCGAGGAGGCTCCTCCTGGCTGGGCTGCACTGTGGGTGTCCAGTGTCCACCCCAGGACTCAAAAGCAGAGTTGCCTATTCCCAGACACGTGGGTCCACGTGTGTGTGGGTTCGTGCACGTTACTCCTGGCGACACAGACGCGAAGATTCTGCCCGGATTCCCTCCAGAGGCAGCAGGAGTACCCTTAGGGACACAGATCACAGACAGCTGGGTGCTCGTGGTGGGTGGGGACTGAGGCTGCTCGGGAAAGGCGTCACTTGGGTGGGCTCATCAGGAAGTAAGATTGGCACTGGATCTGGAAGGTAAGAAGCGGAAGATGTTCTCCTGCCCCCCGGCATGGGGTCCCACCCAGAGCCAGCCACCTCCCTGCCAAAGAGCAGCCGGAGAGCGGGCAGAGGGGGCCGCTTCGGTGCCCAGCCCCTGCCACTGCAGCAAGCCCTCACGCCCTAGGTCTTGGCCAGAGGATGCTTGCCCGCTCCCAGCCCTACCCCCGTCATGACCTCTTGTGACCATGGGCTGTCCTCATGGGTAACATCCCGAGGAGTGGCAGGGGGTCCGACCCTCGGCTGTGCCGGCGGGGCCTCCGTGAGTGGAGGCCCGTGAGCTGGGGGCGGTGCAGGCCAGGTGGGCTGTCCTCATGGGTAACATCCCGAGGAGTCGCAGGGGGTCCGACCCTTGGCTGTGCCGGCGGGGCCTCTGTGAGTGGAGGCCCGAGAGCTGGGGGCGGTGCAGGCCAGTCAGGGGCGGTGTCCCTCATCACTTCCTTCTTTAGGAGGCTCCCTCTGTCCATCCAGTCTTCAGCAGCCAAGGTCACCCCAGAGAGGCATGGTTGGCAGGGGTGGGGGTGCTGAGAGGCAGTCTCCACTCCCTAGGGACTGTGTCCAACACAGTTAGCTTCATCTGCCACTTAATTACCTCCGTGGGGCACTGCTCCCACCCGCCTGGCGGTACCCGGCAGACACTCTTCAGTGTCCCTACTGTGGGCACGGGGTGTGTCACAAGGTCAGCGGGCCCAGGCAGTACTCATTGCAGGAAGGGGAGAGCACCTTGGCCTTCCTTCGACCTCTCTCTGCTGCCTCCCCCCCCTCTTTGGCCCACCCACCCAGCCTCCCTCACACACAGTGCCTGCCGGGGTGGCAAAGGACTCCTTGGCACCCGCCACAGCCGGCTGCAGCCAAGGCTCCCACACCCCTAGCTCTTGGCCCTGTCCTCCCCACCAGCCCGCCCGCCCACTCCCTGGTGTGGGGGCCGCGAGATCTGCCCCTCTCTGACAGGGCCTGTCCTGACACCCGGGGCGGACTCTGGGAGTCTGCCTGCCAGGTGCATGCCACTTACATGGCAGTGCATAGTGGGTGCCCAGCCACCCAAGGCTTGGCCTGTCCCTGCCTCCCTGCTGGGGCCCCTCTCAGGCTGGGAGGTGAAAGGGGGTGATTAGCTGCCTTGTGCCTGTTATTACATTGATGTATTATTTAGCTCCAGGGAGGCGATGAATATTTGATCTCCTTGCACTGGCTGTGGGCAGCAGAGGAAGTGGGACTGGGGTGAAGGTGGCAGCTTCATTCCCTGCCCCAGCAGCCCTGCGGGTATCGGTACCCTGGGACAGCCCCAGGACTCGGGGACTTCCTCCTACGTAGACTGGTGGGACTGGAGGGGCGCCGCTTCCCTGCCTTGTACTCCTTTGCCAGAAGTGTCCACATGTCCCTAGGGGCTGCCCTCCTCCCAGCATGCTGGGCCCTGGCCGGAGGGGGAGCCCCTGGTTTCCTTCCTCTGATCACTTGGAGCCCAGGAGCTGGGAGGCGGAGGAGGTTTTCATACCTGGATCCCAGCCAGCGGGCAAATGGGCAGGAAGAACATGATGGTTTAAGAGGGCCAGGCCCCCTCTTTTGCTTCTTCCAGGCTGGCAGCCCCTGGGACACTGATCATCATTTAAGGGTCGAATGAGGGGCAGATGTCCTAAGCTAGGGTCAGTGGGAACCACCCCTAACTCTGGGTGTGGCCCAGGCTGTACCCTGGGAGCCATGACTGGGGTCCCAGCAAGAAAACTGAGTAGCCTGGCGCTTGCAGAGCAGAGCTCACTGTACCTCTGCCAGTAGGGCCCAGGGAACATCTTCTTGGGGCCAAGGGGACTGGACAGGGAGCAGATCCCAAATTCCCCCACCCCCACCCTAGACCCCAGCTGAGGCTCAAAGTTCCAGGACAAGTTGAAAGGCCAAGCAGTCCCCAGCTGCGCCTGGCCCGGGGCTCCATCGCCATGGAGACAGGATCTGGGGAAGCTGGCCCCTTCATCTTCTGTGATGTTCAGAGCTGCCCCTTCCCGCTCTCACAGGAAGGCAGGCACATCAGCCGTCCCTCAATCCACAGTCCTACGCACAGTAGGCCTGAGCTCCTGGCCCCTCCTTGCCACCCCAACTGCTGTCAGTGCCTCTGATTTGGGGAGAGGAATTGAGGGGTTGCTCCTCAACAGGGCAGAGGAAGGGCCGCTTCCTGGGGGACATGTGGGTGTGGGAGGGACAGGCTGGGGGGGTCTGGACCCTCAGCCCAGCTCAGCACTGTGTCAGGGTTCTCCGGCTGCCAGTGGGGTGCTCCCTAGGTCCCCTTCTGCTGCTTAGTGGCTCAGGAACCAGCAGCTGTTGGGGGTGAGCAAGGGCTCCTCTGGGTGACCCGGGCACAGAGGAGAAAGCCCTTAAAGTGCTTCACCCCAGCACCCTCCTTTGGGCAACCGATTGGGGATCTCTCAGGACTTCTTCCCATTCATGCCCTAGCCTCTCCTCAGATGGGGGCTCAGCATGGCCCAGAGGTGGGGGCCGCTGACTTCCTGGACAAGCTGCTCCCTGCGGAACCCTGCATAGGGGGAGGAGGGCAAGGGAGGAGGCTTCCTGGTCCATTCTGTCCTCACGCCTGTGGGCAGTGTTCTGTAGCTGGCCATGGACAAACATGGGGGTGGAGGAGGGGCCACCACTCGGGTCTTTGTTCTACCCTCGGCCTCTCACCTCGGGGCTGAGTGGTCCTTAATGGACTTTGGTGGTGGGGGGAGGGGGGAGCAGCAGGCTTTGTGGGAATGCAGGGAGCCGGGGCTGATTCGGGGCTGATTCGGGGCAGGGAGAGGCATGCACAGCAGGCTGCCCTCCTTCCCCTCCCCCCCTCGCTCACCCCCAGTCACTGCAGCCCCAGTCAGGGCAGAGGGCAGCTAGAATGACCCTCCTGAGCCTGGGGCGCCTTTATTATTCATGAGCTACTGGGCTGGCCGTAGAGCCTCCGTCTCTCTGCGAGGAGGGGGTGGGGGTCCCAGCTAACCTGTGCTCCCTCTTCCTGGCACAGGAGCTGACACAGTGAGTGACACGAGTTCTGTAAGCCTGGAGGTGGGTCCTGGCAGTCGGGAGACTTCAGCGGCTACACTGTCCCCTGGGGTGAGCGGCCGTGGCTGGGATGACGGCGACACCCGCAGCGAGCACAGCTACAGCGAGTCGGGCGCCAGTGGGTCGTCCTTTGAGGAGCTGGACCTGGAAGGCGAGGGACCCCTGGGGGAGCCAAGGCCGAGTCCTGAGTCGGAGCCCCTGGGGACCCCCAAGTGGCCCCGGGAGCTCAGTACCCCTGAGAAGGGCGAAGAGTAACCCATGGCCCGCGCCCTCCTTTGGGGCAGTCACTGAGGAACTGAGTAGACTCTTCAGCCCTCTTCCTCCTTCACCTTCCGGCCAGGCTGGGACCCCGACTTCCGCCGCCGGCCTCTAGCTAAGCCTTCTCCTCACTGCCCTCCTGGCTCCCAGGGCCGGGGAGGCCGTGGACTGTTTTCTGCAGCCAGCCCCTGGGCTGCTGCCTCTGTTACATCTTTTTTCAGATTCTCATTGGAGCTTCCAGGACTCGGAATAAAACAAATGATTTTCTTGTTTCACCTGGATTTGGGCTGTGCATTTGTTTGTTCTACCTTGGGGAGCCCTGTGCAGACAGGCCGGGAGCAGGCAGGGGCACCCCCAGCCTAAGGAAAGGAAGGAACAGGGCCCCGTGCCCTTGAGTGGGGGGAGAAGGAGGTCTGGGAGGCCCTCCGCTCCCTGCTCTGTGGCCCCCAGTGGACAGCTGTCCGTCCATTACAGCAGTCCCAGAGGCTCCCCTGAGCGGCTGGAGAGCAGGGCAGGGGGCATGAGAGCTGAGCACGCCCGGGTGGGAAGCTCCCAGGCCTTCGTCTGCCTCCAAGGGGTGCCTTTGTGTCTGTGGCTCGAGCGTGCCTGTGCTCATGCTGGCATCTGCCCAGCAGGTGAGGACATCTCACTAGGCTGGCCGGTGTCTGCGTACTGCCTGTGTACATGTGCACACACACGCCTACCTTTGGTTCTGCGTGTGTAACCATGGGTGGGTCTGCTGGTGGTGGTCCCAGGTGAGGCTCTGCCTATGTGGGCATCAGGATGTGACTGGCTGGGTGGGGCTGTATTTGTGTGGATGGCTATGTGCACGCGTTGCTGGGCTTTGTGTGTCTAACTGCGTGTGATTGTGTTACAGGGCTATGAGGCGGGCTGGCGAGCGTTGCTGTGGGGGCCGTGCCCTACACTGCTGTGTGTGTGTGGCTCTGTGTCTGTGTACAGCTCTTGTGTGGGTGTGTGTTCATGTGCAGTTTTCCTGTGTCTACACGTAAAGCTGTAGGTCTGTGCAGCTGTGTGTGTGTGGACATGTCGACGTGTGTGGCCATGTGTTTGTGACTCCATGTGTACAGCTGTGTGTGTCCACATTTAAAGCTGTGTATTATGTCTGTGCATATGGCTGTGCCGTGGTTGTGTGTTTAGGTGTATTGCCGTGTATGGCCGTGTGAGGCTGGGGGTTTACAGCTGGAGTGGGGCTGCAGAGCCGGGTGTGTAGCTGCGTGTCCACGTGTTGGTGATGGGACCACGCAGCCCGCTTGCTGCCGGCCGTGTAGTGGGCCTCTGGGGCTGGCGCTGTGTTTAGAGCCATGATTTTTGTGGGCTGCCTTGGCGAGTGGGCTGGGATTGCTGTGTGCCTCCTGCCTCCTCGGCACCCTGCTGCTGTCAAGCCCTGTGCTCCAGGGGCCTGGCCCATCACTCGCCTATCCCAGGGAGCAGTCGCTCTGAGCCGGCCAGAGAGGGTGAGAGCAGCCAGAGCGAAAAGACAGCCCGTCTGTCTCTCCCGCCTGTCTGACAGCTCTGAGCCCTCATCCCGCTGCCATATCACCTCCCATCAGCCATGGAGTTTGTTTGTTTGGGTGTGATGTGTTTGTCTTTCACAGCTGCGCTCCTTCCAGAGCAGTAGGGCATCGGGTTTCTGTGTCCTGGGGAAAAGCCTGTCCTTCCTTGCTGTCACTACTCCCCCATCTACCGTGTGCACATGTAGGTGTGTTTGCTGGAGGGGCCCAGGCTTGGCATAGGCTCATTAGCATGTCCGAAATAGCCTCGCCTCTAACGACACCTGTGGAAGAGAGGGCAGCGCCAGGGGGACGTGTATGGGGTCCACACCGTCTTCTCTGAGCTGCCCTCCCTCTGCTCCTGAGCACTTGTTAGCGTGTGTGCTTGCTGGGGGCAGATAGCACAGGTCCCCTCCCCACACCCTTCAGCGCAGTCTGGCGCCACAGCTTATCTGCCACCCCTGTCCAGGGGCGTCCTTCCCCATTCTGCTGCAGGAAGGGAGAAGAGTCCACACCGTCTTCTCTGAGCTGCCCTCCCTCTGCTCCTGCTGCCTCCTACGCAGCAGCGTCTCAGGTGCCTCCTTCCCAGCTCCTCCCCCCCCCAGCCCCAGCATGTCTCCCAGGGTTGACCGTTGTCTTTGGCCCGGCAGCACCCCCTCCCCACCCCAGGTTGCTGTCTCTTTACCATAAATAATACCCTTTGCGCATGAGGGTAGGGATTAGTGGGGGGTAGGGGGAAAGTCGAGGCTGGGTGTCTGGATATGTGTGTGGGGGGGGGAGGTAGCTTTAAAGGTCGTCTGCAGGAAGAGGAGGTCCCAGATTCCTCTGACCTCCCACCCCCCGCCAGGTCTTCCTCTTAGTGACTCAGGCCCCAGCTCTCACATGGGGCGGAAGACACATGCCCCCACCCTGGGTCTGGCATGTGGACTAAGCTGCAGTCCACGAGTCAGGGGGAATGGCTGTTAGGGCAGGGACAGACTTGTGTAAACACTCCACCCACCTCCTACGTGCCCCCTTACCTGTCCCCCAGTGGTACCCCACGACCCTAGGGCCAGCCCCTTTGCTCTAGCAGATGGGAACCCACAGCATTGTGCTGTTCTCCCGGGGCTCAGTGACCTTCCCAGCCCCGTGCCCCGTGCCCCGTGCCTACTGCTCTCTGGGACGCAGTCTGACTGCGGGGTGGAGGGCGCCGCGAGGCACCTGCTCCAGCGCAGAGCGGGGAGCGCCGGAGGACTCAGCACCACGCGGCGGACAGCTCCGGGCCGGCGGCCCCGCAAAGAAGCCGAGCCGGAGGCGCAGGGCGCGGGGCGGTGGAGGAGTCTGGAGGGAGGCGGAGGCTGGATTGGGAGAGGAAGAGCG